CCTACCTAAAAATCTATTATGAATCGTAACATATTTTGGGAAGGCACGCACACACACACACACTTGTTAAATAGATTATTAGTTTTGCCCCATTTTTTACATCTCGTTTACTTTCGCTTCTCACGCTTTAACCGCCTCTCATTTGTGTCGTCTTGTCCGTACATTATTTGCATGACGTGTAAAAATCAATACTCGCAACGAACCATTCGACGCACGCGCCGTGAGCGTAGCAATCAATTTGTTACGTGCCGAACTAAGAGATGCCTGAATATGGGACGCTACGGACCACAACAAGACCGTGTGGAATGTCCAGTCGGTGCTTTTGATCAGGTGAAAGTTGCGTTGAAACGTTATAGCGGAGGCAAGAGAGGACCTGGGTTCCTTGTTTACAAAGGGGGCGGGGTGTCGTTTACAATTTCTCTGCAAGGATAGTACAATAATTTGCTCATTTAAGCTTTAGATCAGGAGGTCAAACAGTCAATACCATGTGGACCGGCTCCAGTGGCAAGAGGGGATTGCTGAAACACCTCGCCATCCAATATCCGCCGTAATAAAACTGGTTAGACACAAGATAAAAGAGAATCAATTTACAGTGAGAGGGTGGGGGATTGGCATCAAAATACGTCTCTCTCACGCAAAGAGAAATATCTCCCGTTTAGGAGTACATGCTGCCTGAGCAAGTGCCTTTAGCGGATACCTATTTGGCCCGCTCTCGCATGCAAGCATGTGTACCCAAGACTTAATAGTGTAATCATAATAATCGTCGTCTCCTTTGTTTACCACAGAAAGCCTCGCCGAGTCGCAAGACTCTCCTTGAGGAAGAACCAGCGAGGGATATATGTCCAATCCCATTAATGAGTGGTTTGGCACAAGGGAATGCATTTGATTACCCCGAGGAAATCCACCGCATATGAAGGGGTAGTTACTTAAAAACTCCGCACGGATAGATTCAAAATCCATTGCTGTCCCCTGACAAGTCCTGGCACCTCGTAGCCACCTCGGAATCGAAGAGTACCGCTCCTGGTTTTCCTCGGCAGTCTCCGATCCAAGCGTTAGTCAGGCCGAGCCCTGCTTGTCTCCTGAGATCTGACGCGACCGGGCGCACTCGTGGTTATGTGTCGCAGGCAATGTTCTCACTCTGTGCTCATTTTAGGACGAGTCGATACAGAGGGGAGGCTCATGTCCAGTTGATATACCAAATGCCGCTTAGTGCTTTGCACTGCAGCCAGAAATTGAACACAGGCAGGCGGGGATTATATAGCAGTTGTGTGAGCCACCGTGACCTCGCTGGCTCACAGACACGTGCACACCCGTGTGAGCTCACACTACAACCCAGAAGCTACTAATCTGCGTTAATTTGACTTTAGTTCATTATTAATATTCAGACTTATACATTTTTGCATGGTAATTTACCACCGCAGCGGTAGTAAATTATGACAATTACTGCAAGCTAATTATGAATACCACGATGTACGTTATCGACCTCTCAGAAAATGGGCAATGAAATAATTTCCATTCTCGTCTTAAACTCGTGGCTGGTTAACCCCATCGCGGAGGTCTTTGGGTTGCGCCGTGCACGGATCGGCACGAAAGCCGACGTTTTGCTGCGCGTGCCGGGAGCTTGAGCTCGCTTCCGGGAGAAGCTCGCGGCACGCGGAGCGAAATGTTGGACGTCCTGCCGAGCAACACCCGACAGCGAACCCAACGCAAGCACTCGGGAGAGCGGGCGATCCGACATGGCATTGCTAGCAGCGGTAGAATCTTAACCCTTTCCCATTCCGATGACGTACGTGCACTTCGTCTCTTTCCCTTCCGATTCCGTCCCGATGACGGACGCGTGCTAAAATAAAAAAATAACTTCGTCGCTACCGAGGCACCGGCGAGGACACCCGCGTGAGGGCGCGCGGCCCACAGTTTGGCGCCGGCTATCGTAGTCGCTGCGCTTCTCCACGCTTCTCTGCGGTGAGCGCCGACGTCTTTAAAAACGGCGGCGCTGCTGCTACGCCTCTCTAAATAAAATGAACGCCAAGTCGCTCGCGCGCTCCGACATGCAGCGGTGAACGGGACACCACCCCCCACCCTGCAACTTGCAGACGTCTCGCAACGGGAAAGGGTTAACGTGCAACCAAATATCCGTTTCTGCTTCAGCTTAGCTAAGTGGAGGTCGCCCTGACGAGGTGGCTACGTGACCGAGGGTCGGCTTTATCTGTGACCCGTCACTGCCAGGCACCTGGGTTCTAATCCCCACCAAAAGCTCTAATGCTTTGTTGTGGGCCAGGTGGCTCGGAGGCTTAAAACTGTCAGCCTTATTGACCCAACACCGCTGAGAGCCTGAGTTCGACTCCTGTCTAGAAACATAGGAATATATCCAATTCCCAGTTGAATTTACGGTCACAACATTTGCTGTCACAAAAAAAAAATTACTTGATTTTAAACTTATTTTGGCTTTTCCTTTTGAGTAAGAGCAAATGTTTTGTGTAGGATTTTAAACGTAATGCGTAAAAAATCTGATCACTATTTCACAGCAAAGAACAGCCACGTCTAGCAACCCCTGGAGATCATGGGATTTGCGATTTCGAAACAAGACATCGGTGCACATGTGGCTTAAAGCAAATAAATAAAACATAAAAATCCACAGGAATATTAAACCGGATGGTTAGGCACCGCGCTGGCATGACGGCGCGATTCACGGCATCGTTGAGGGCCACCGGGAGCTGGCACGGTGCGTTAACACCTGCACGTGTTCCTGCACGCACACACGCACACAAACACTCGCACGCACGCACACTCGCACGCACGCACACTCGCACGCACGCACACTCGCACGCACACAAACACTCGCACACACACAAACACTCGCACACACACTCGCACACACACAAACACTCGCACGCACGCACACTCGCACGCACGCACATTCGCACACAACACTCGCACGTACACTCGCACACACACAAACACTCGCACGCACGCACACTCGCACGCACGCACACAAACACTCGCACGCACACTCGCACGCACGCACACTCGCACGCACACACGCATGATTGACATCCGCAATTGGACGAGTGTCAGCACGGTGCGACCCGCGGGTAACGACCGCCCGAGACGGGTCCCCCCACCGCCTCACCACGCTCGCTCTCTGTCCGCGCAGCAACCATCGCCTTCAACAAGGCGCGGCAATCCTCGCCAGGGGAGGGAGGTGGCGGGGGGGGGGATCGGCTCTGGTTAGGGGGCTGCGGGGGGTGCTGTGGGGGCCGAGCGTGAAAACAAACCCGACGCGGAGGAACAACGTGTCCGTGAAATCCATAATAGAGTTTGTTTTGTGGTGGGTTAGATCGCGATCTAACCCACTAAAAAACTCTATTATGGATGATATTGGTCGCGAAAGCCTACTACGTGCTAAGCTTCCGTGAAAGTTTTGGCGATTTGTTCACCAGCTCTGTTGAGAGTTGAGAACCCGTGCACGGCACGAATATTGTTCTTCGGTTTTTTGTGTTGCACTTTGTTTGTCTTCTAAGCCATCGGGAAAGGACAACAACAAAAACGCTACAATTGTGGATATTTGGAACATCACATTAATAAAAATACCAACTGTTAACAGTGCTGAAAATGCCCCCCTGTTGAAGACGCGCCGAGTCTCGGGACTTGTTTTCTCAGGAGGGTCGCGGCGTTGGGACGTTTGGCCAATAGCATTCGAATGAGTGTTTGGGATGCGTAAAAAAAATCGATTTCCCAGAGAAAACCCACGCATTCGAAGGGGTAACACTCAACACTCTGCATAGATACGTACTTTGTATCTCAATCCTACAGTACCTGTCATTCCACATTTTAGTTTCGTCCTTGATTTCTCAGGCCACCACCATCGGGGCTTTATCCTCTCACCACTTTACTGCCACGTCCGCGCCGCTGCCTTCCACCGTCTAAACCGGCGGCTAGTCGCAGCACCTCCGCCGCTCAAATCCGTCCCCGCGCGCTCGGCGCAAGCGATCCTCGCGATCCTAACAGGCCGCGTGGGCGCGTGGGCGCGCCACACACGCGCGCGCGCCTCGTGAAAAATCTCCCAAAATAGCTCGATAATGCCCCCCAAGGTCGCCGCTCTCATTGCGCGCGCCGCTGCCTCGGAGGGAGGATAAACAATTGAACTCGGCCGCTCGTGCGCTCGCACGCCCCCCGCCGCCAGCGTCAGAGGGGGGTCCCGGGCCGTGCGGAGCTGTGACGCGCGACGTGCGTAAGCGGTGGCGGTGGGAGGGGAGGGGGACGCTTGCGTAGTCGCGCCGCGTTGCAGAGCGTCGGCGGAGCGGCGGGCGCCGTTGCTGGCGTTGTTGTTGGCGTCGGGTGCAGATTAAGAGAGAGGATTGGACGGGGGGGGAGGGGGAGAGAGGACCCTCAGGTGGGCGTGGGCCGCCTAGCGCGGGTGCGGGGACGGCGCGGTTTATTTATTCGTCTGATTTTCCCGTGATTGTGCCGTTGGAGCGACGTGAAACGCCGTTCGCTCTCCGGCAGCGTGCGGCGCCACGGGGGAAGCGTTGGGCCGGTCTCTCTTGCGCCAACCCCCTGACAGGGACTCGCTCGTGCCGCGGCCACGCGCGGGGACAGCGGCGATTCACTCCGCAGTACCGTCGCGCTGACAAAGTCTTCACCAGCCATCGGTGGAAATTCCACGTTCCCTCGGCAGGGTCCAGCCTCTGTAGCGGCAAACCTCGTGACGACTTTTAACCAAAAGCGGGGTGATGCAGCCCCGTTAGCTGATCCTCATTTTACTCACTCTGGAGGAATGGCGATAATGACGACGATGTTGACGGGATGGCTGAACTTGCCTTTGTTGTGATCTGTGCTCGTGACTTGTTATCATGTACGTATGTAGAACTTCTTTCGCACTGCACGTTGCCAAAAGTGCTAATCAGGAGGTGCGGGAGGGAAAAAAACAAGCGGCAAACCGCGCCACCACCGCTGGACCGTGGCTAATAACGATGGCTCTGTCGTCTTTTCTCGTGCAGGTTAATGACGCACGGAGCCGCGAGCGTGGCACCACGATGGCCCGACGGGGGCTCTGGGACCAAGCCACCGGCCACCCCCCCCAACCCACCCATCCACCCCCCGCAGGCGGGAACCCTCAGGACCCACGACTACAGCTGCTGCTCCTGTCCGCATCTCAGGACTTGTCTTACCACGGCCGCCACCGCCGCCACCACCGCCGCCACCATCGCCACTATCGAAGCCGAGTTTCACGTGTGGTCCCCACCGTGAAATCCTCAAATCGTCCCCAAAACCATTTCGCCAACAAATGAAACACTGCTCCGCACGATGAGGCGATGCTCGTGGGGGTGAACGGCGTTTGTGCTGCGGGGCATTGTGGTAGATACCCACAGTGCCTTGCAAGCATCGTCCCAAGAGTGCACGTTACACGCAGCAGCATGATTCTGTTGTAGATTTTATCTCACGTGCACGCTCGCAACCCTCTTTTTATATATTTTTTTGGCGGAGGGGGTCGGGGGGATTTGTTGTTGTGTCAGAATTCAGAGAGTAATTCCATAGATTTAGCTAATTCTTGTTACGTGACGTCAGCTATTCCCGGAGTGCGTGTGCGAGAGCGTTAACGCGAAGTCGCTGGGTCGCAGCCTGCAGACGTTGTCACTAATAATAACAATTCATTTAAATTCATAATAATAACAAATTATTTAAATTAATAAAGCGCCCTTAAACAATCGCGCTAATAAAGTGCCACTGGACCTCACTTTGCTGTCACTCGCAAAATACAGCCACAAGCAACGGATCATTGAGCAGACAAAAGCTAAATTTATAAGCAACTTGAATGGTCACCACCGCCACCTGTTGGAGTAGACTTTCTACAGTTTACACTTTGGATGCACAAAGTCTGGCCCGTGCGGTGAGTGTGGTGTGTAGTGTACGCTGATGGGACTGTGCGTTGGTCTGTAGGGTAATAGGCTGACCGATTTGGCATGGTGGTACAGAACGGATCACTTTTCTGCGTTGGACCGCATGAAGGGTTATTTTTGCGGACCACGCGATACGTCGTCGGAGCTGCGTGGCCGTGCAGCGTTGGGACGAAGTAAGCTGCGGGAACCTGTAGGGCAGCGCAACGCAGTTGCATGCCGCACACAAATTCCTGGCGACCCATCTCTTTCTGGATCCTGGCCACGCACAGCGTCACGTGGAAGAACACCAGCTCCGCTCAGACGATAGCGGCCAGATAAGGCGCTGGCCACACACCCCTTGTGCGCCACGCCGGCTTTAATAGCTACTTGCTAATGGTGGCTTAATAGGTACGTACTATAGCATTGCTTCCTTTGGATTGTCAGTCGGAACGGAGGGGGGGGCGGGGATTGGACATCGCGGTGTGTCGGGGCTGTGTGGTGCACGCACTGCGGTGTGTGCGGTGCGCGCGCGGTGCCGTGACCAGTCTGAGATCACCTGACTCGCTGCTCCTGCAGCTTTGAGCAACACAGCTGCTCCGTGCACCGTGCTGCACATGCACGTGCCGAGCGGGGTTCAATAACATTTCCAGTGCAGGAGTCTTAAGTTAAAGTAATGATATTCGAGGTGTTTCGGCGATATTTATAAGCGATGCTGCTCCCAACTGGGGTGGCAAGTGGGATTCGAATTATGTTATCTTATTAAGCTGCAGAATTATATATACATGGCTGATTGAATTTGAGGTCAATATCATTGTTAACTGGTGATGATGATTAATAAGATCCCATCCACTAGACACGTGGGGATGCTTACGGACGCTCGGACCAATGGCATTATGTGCTTTGATTGTTTATTATTGATTTTACAACAATTGACACTGAACTATTTAGTTTTTTTTAATATAAAACAGCTTCTTAGTGCTAGGTTATGTAGCTTTTAAATTAAAACTATTAAGGTCTGTAAACCAGTTTTTTTTTTCAATTGTAATGTTGAATATGCCAGTATTTATTATTTTAAGTGATAATATATTGTCAACCCGTTTTTATTTATGAACGATTGCTCATGTAGACGGGACACCCCCGCATATCGGGCTGCACCCCGTAGGCAGGGTGGACGGGCGTGCGTGCGGTACATTTGTGGTCAGTCCCAGCAGTTTACAAGCACTGTCGTCTATTTAAACCACGTAGAAGTCCATTGAGATTAAATTGTTCTTTTCAAGGGACTTGGTTAATTGTGTCTATATGGCCTTGGGAGGGGAAGACCTTAAAAGCCAGATGGTAGTAGGGATGTTGTTACTGTAAACAGCAGCAAGAGGCTGGGGGTTTGTAAACGTTGCCGTGTGATCGGGCAAGAGGAAGGGAGGGAACGTCGTGGCAAGGTGCATTGGCACCAAACGTGGTACTGGCCATAATGACCTCCTGCCATTGTGGCTTTCTTCTGTTCTCTTATCCTGCGGTCCCGATTTTAATTTTGCGAGCAACTTCACACCCCACCGTTAGCGAGGACTTTGCCGCGGCGTTTCGGCGAGCGGGCGGCCTCGCGTCGGGCTCCGTGTGCAAAGCGCCAGTGCGGCGAGTACGTCGACGAGCAAGTAGAAGAGGAGTACAATCTGCAACGCATTTCACGCGAGCCGTAGGGCAGGGCGTGGGTGTGTTCGCCCTTCGTCAGGAGATCGTTTTGTCTGCACCTCACCGCTGGGCTGGACGAGCCAGCCAAGTTCATTGATTCTGCCTTGGTACCAATAACCCACGTGTGGTCTTAAACAGCCTTATTGTCGGATTTCGTTGGAACGATCGAATAAATAAAGAAAAATATATATAGAGAGAGTATAAACAATATATATATACTGAATACAAATGTAAAACTAGTAATGACCCACCACACCCCTTCCGTTTAAATTAATATTTTCACCCTAATTGCACCTGCGGTGGCTTACATATATAGAGTAAATTTTATATAGTTGCTATACCAGTACTTGTTTCTAAATGGAAATAGAAATGTGACGTTTTGTGAAAGGGAAGGCATAGAAATTCTGAAACTCCGTGGGTGTGCAGAGTGTATGACACGTAGCTTGCTAAATTGCTAGAATGTGAACCAACCATCACTTCGACATATCAATGCACATCGACACCGGTAGAGACGCGCGTGCGCATCACGGCCATTCGCATACCCCAAAAATAACGCGCACGACCGTGCGACTCATCGCGATATTCGGTACGACGGTCTGCTGTTGCCAGACCTCCAATTCACCGATTGACCCCAGCTGAAAGCATAAAGCCCCCCCCCAGCCACCCCTCTCCTCCGCCTCGACGTGCTGAGCGGTCAGGGTGAGGCCACGAACCAAGCCACCTTGGCTTCGCGAAGGGCCAGGGAGTTTGGGTGAATCCACCAAGACGTGTCACAGGGGGGGGGGGGGGCTTTCTGCGGCTGTTGCTGGCCGCGTTACTGAACGTGGAGATTTCGGTGCAGAATGTTGGGAAGTCCTGGCCAAGGCCGCACCACAGGGAAAGGGGTGGGAAGGAGTTGTCCCGTTGGCTGTAGAATACTGTACAACACTTCTTTTTAGTAAACAGCTGCTGTACCAATCCGTTTCCTGAATACGGTATTTGTAAAACTAACTTATTGCTGAGAGAGTCAATGTATAATGAATTATATAGAGTCCGTATTTTTTATGTACATAGATGTGGTTTCCAGGAGTTGGGAACGGGTTGGGGAGGGGGGGGATTATTTTATTTAAGGCATTTATTGAGCAGAAACTTTCTTGGACACTGAAAATTATAATGTTGCAACGTTTCCTACTGCTGCAGAAATAGAGTTTAAAATATTATAATGATGTCGAAGTATATTTAATTAAACTATTAGCACTGACAGGCTGAATGATGTAATTTAACAGCGCGTGCCTGTGTGTCTTCCTGTATATATATTGTAAGTAGCATAAGCTTGATTGATCTGCAGGTTGACTGCGGTGGATCGTACGTTCTGTTCGCTGGTGAGTTTTGGGCTAAAGTATGTACAGTCAAGAACTAGGCATGTTATCAAACAATAAAACGCATTTCCAATGCAATACATCCGTCTGTGGACATCTTTGTTTCCGCGACCAATATCCATAATCGAAGGTTTTTTGGGTGAGATCGCGCAAATAAATTGAATGTCTTTAAACCTGCCACCACCCGACACAGCCAACTCGTAAGGCTTGTCACGTAAACAGAACAGCCAGATTTGGCTGTCGCCTGATGAAGCTACTTGTAATTACTGGCGAAACGTCGTACTCAGATTGTAACTGTTGTGGCTTGGCTCTCCAACACACCGGTTAGTGCTGTACTAGTGACGAATTGGCCACGTTCTGTCTAAGTGACAACCCTTACTAGTTGGCTGTGCCGGGTGGTGGCGGGTTTAACGACACTTTTATATATTTCTGCGATCTAACCCAAATAAACCTATGGACCTTTGTTTCTGTACTGGGTACAGCTCCATTAATCACGTCCACCGAAGAGATGGAGCGATGAAAGCTGCTCGTGCACAGTTGCTGCGTGGAGTATTTTCAGACGGCGGTGGCTTGGAGAGGCCTCCATCCAGCGGTGGATTGACCGTGGATGATGATGGAGACAGCTTCACGAACTCACCACCAAATCTATTGCATTAAATTATTTCCTGTGGAGGGACCTGGTAGGAACGTTGGGTTGCTCGGTCAATGGCCAGGGTCAACGGCGGCGTGGTGTATTGCGCAAATATGCCCGACTGTGAGGGTGGGCACAAGCCGGAGTGAGTAGGTTAAACGTTGAGTTTTATACGGGCACCACGGGGTGACCAGCCCCTCCCCACCCAGCCCAACCCCCCACCCAGCCCCTCCCCACCCTCGCCACCCAGCCCCTCCCCACCCTCCCCTCCCTGCACGACGGACGGACACAATAATCCCCTGTGGGCTGGTGCAACTAGAGGTTCCTACCAGTATTATTGGTTTGATGTAGCTAATCTATGCAGGATGTGATCGCAGCAACGCTCCGATACTGGGACTCCTCTACTTACGAACGAGTTAGGTTCCAGAGGTCTGTTCGTAAGTCGATTTCTTCGTAAGTCCAACTTTACTCCCGTCGTTTCCACACGTGTTGTACGACGTGCACACTAAACACAGTGAATGGCTTTAAGAGTTGTATAATCTCATGTAGATGTAGATGCCGCCGGTTCTTCACGTTCTGCAGATGTAGATGCCAGCACCGCCAACGTAGAGGCCGCGGTGAAGTGTCGGAGACGGTGCCGCGAACCCATCGACCGAGACACACACACACACGACGCCCTCGGCCACAACATCACCTCTCTCTCTCTGCCCGTCACTCTGAACGCAGCGCAGCGATGCCTCAGAAGAAGAACAAGAATACAAATGACGTTCCAATTAGAGGCAGTGGCGGACACCTCGTTGCGCTGCCGGGAAATGCGCAGCACAAGCCCGCAGTTGACTCTTACCGGGCAGCGGTGACTAATGTCGGCTGATGTGGACCTCACCGTATCAATCACAGCCCCCCCCCCCCAGCGCAGGACTCGGGGGGGGGGGGGGGCACGCGCGCTGCTTCCCGGAAACGATGACACGTCGGGAGGCAGCGAGCGTCACCGGCATCGTGAGGGGTGCTGCCCGCTGTCGGCACGCGCCCGTGGCCCCCGGTGTAGTTCCCGGCGCTGTGCCACGTGGCCGTTGGTCGGGTGGATGGGAGAGGACGGTGACGACTGCGTGATGGGCATCTCGCTGGGATGCAGTGTTTGTGGTATTTGTCATATTTGTAGTATTTGTAATATTTGTAGTATTTGTAATATTTTCGACAGACCTGTTCTTCACCTGAGGACGGCTTGCTTGCGTTGTGGCCGAAACGTCGTGAGAATTATTTGTGTTTTATTTTTATTACTTTATTATTTCCCTTCTACGTGACTTTACCGAAAGAACCAAGAAGATGAAAACGAGATGACTCGCAGATGCGCCAATCGCCAATTGAGCTTCCCACTTGTGCCAACTCGCTGGGATTTAGCTGCCCGGCGCTCCGCTCGTTGTTGTTAATTGACACGTACAAAGACAAAGAACCCCCCCCCCCCGTATAGCCTGAACAGACTGTAGGGGCAAGTGCTGTTTGCGAGCACCTATAAAGGCCGGCACGGCACACGAGGGGGTGGGTAACCAGCACCACGCACGACCACCTTTGTCTCCCCAGTGGCGATGTTTACATATCGCACCAGGTACTCATTTGAAGCTGAGTCGACCTAGGGGAGGCCCATGACCGCTTCAGATAATCGTCACCGGTGTTGGCCGTGTAGCGGGAATCGAACTCGGGTCGCCGGGTTCGTAGCGCATCGTAGCACTGACCACTACACTACCGCTCCCCACTAACACACACACGGACATGCGCACACTAACAAACTCACACGTTTCGATTTAAAGCTTTCGTGACTGCAGGGATTCATCTTGGTTCTTTCGGTAAAGTCACGTACAAGGGAAGTAATAAAATAATACAAATAAAACATAATAAAATAATTCTCACGACGTTTCGGCCACAACGCAAGCAGCCGTCTTCAGGTGAAAACCAGGTCTGTCGAGGCGACAGCGTCTGTGCACACATAAAGGCAAAGGGCCCGAGGTAAGCCTCACGGTGTCAGTGCACGTGCTGGAAACGAGCACTGTTAGGTGGCTGGGCCAGCACCACGCGCCCACTGCTTCACCATTACAATTTGTGCCCATCTGAGGCCGATTGATCTGCTCTTTGCATCCTGGAAGCTGATATGCGTATAATGCATATTGTTGCGCTGCTTGTTATGATTCCAGGATTTATCTGCACACAGATTTTTGGCGAGTGACTGGAAGGGTCCCTGCAACCTGCGATTGTTTTTTTCTTGATGAAAGGATTTGAGCGACGAGCTTGTCCGGCCAAATGGTGCTGTTCGCTGTTGGACAGCGGTCGTGAATTACGCAACTTGCCACGGCTGTTCGCATCCCCTGGTGTATTGGAGGGGAAATCGAGTCCCCAACGCAGCTGCCAATGCGGCGAGCATGCATGTCCCAACGCTCCGAGGCAGGGCGAGGAGTGAACGCAGCCCGAGTCGGTTGACGTTCACGAAAGGTTCTCTGACACCGTCCAGGTTGAGATGGTTTGTTGGGCCCCGCGGGGAGTGCGACGGCGCGGGGCGCGTCCTCGACGAGTGGACGGTCAGATATGCGCAGCGGAACGCGCGTGCACATTCTCGCTGTGTGTGCGCGCGGCGAGTCCATGTGAAGTAATTTAACTATTGAAAAAAAACTGTTTTACTTTACCAGATAAGGCCCACTCAGCTATAACAGCTCTTTTTCAGTTGCACAAATGAAAGCTCAACGAAGTTCCTCATCCACGTGGAAATGCACAGCAGCCAAAAACTCTTAAACGCGTGATGCTGCTTCTAAATGTGGGGAGAGAGACACGCAAACTCCAAATATACAACAGCAGGCGTCAGGGTCGGGATCAAACCCACGGCCTTCTGGAAACCGGGCGAGGTAGTTAACATCTCCTAGCCGCCGTGATGATGATGAGAGAGAGACACGGCAAAATCCAAATATACAGCAGCAGACGTCAGGGTCGGGATCGAACCCACGGCCTCCTGTACACCAGGCGAGGTAGTTAACATCTCCTAGCCGCCGTGATGATGATGAGAGAGAGACACGGCAAAATCCAAATATACAACAGCAGGCGTCAGGGTCGGGATCAAACCCACGGCCTCCTGTACACCAGGCGAGGTAGTTAACATCTCCTAGCCACCGTGGCTTGCGTGCACACACAGGGGCCCACAATCCACCGCTGCGCGAGATGCCCCCCCCCCCTGCCACGATGCTGAGCTGCCAAATCGCGAAATAATCGAGGGGGCTAAAGGCGCGGAACTTGAATTGGTGTCCAGATACCAAACCACGAATGATAGAACTTCACGAAAGAAACTTCCACGAAGGAAGAGGTTTAAATTGTATATGCTCACACAAATATAAACTCGTGAATAACCGCATTTCGCAAAATAAAATTCCGCGAATGATAATATTAGCACGGGGGAAGCTATTGCTCCCTTGCTCGTATAGGGCTTTTTCAGGGGGGGGGGGGTGCGAGTTACATTTGTGGGGGGCTTGGTAGTGGGGGGGGGTACCCTGAAGAGGAACCATATATTGTCGATGTTATTTTGTTTCTGGTGGTTCGTGGTGCAGAGAGCTCACGAAGCGCATGGGATCCCGTGTGAGACACGGGAGGGAGGGGTGGTTCACGCCACGTGTTCTACACGTGGCGTGAAATATTCTTAAACGGGCGATTTGGGCGTCTGCGCATGCACTGCCGTTTCTCACGCCCGGTGTACCCACCAGCAGACAAAGACAAAGATCCCCCGTGTAGCCTTAACAGGCTGTTGGGGCAAGTGCTGTTAGTGATCACCTATGAAGGCCGGCACTGTGGCACACGAGGAGGTGGGTGACCAGCACCACGGTCGACCACCTTTGTCTCCCCAGTGGCGACGTTTACAAACCGCACCAGGTATTAATTGGAGGCTGAGTCGATCTAGAGGACACCCAGGACAGGTTCAGATAATCGTCACCGGTGTTGGCCGTGAGCGGGAATCGAACCCGGGTCGCCGGGTTCGTAGCGCTAACTGCTACACCACCACTCCCCACCACACACACACAGACACCCACACACACACGCGCGCACCACCTACTCCGCGTGCTGCCTCACAAGCAACCCCCTGTTTCAAATTCCTCGGACTGAATGTTCGTTCGCAGGCACCGGCAACCCGTGCAGGTAGTCGGAGTCAAAATGTTACGTCTCGCACGAAGTGCTGCTGACAGAAGTGACGGTTAAGGGGCCGTCCATAAATGACGTCACGCGATTTTGGACGATTTTTGCCCCCCCCCCCCCCCTCGTCACACGGCGTCACAAAAAGTCAGACCCCCCCCCCCTCAAATATGACGTCACAAAGCTCTGCGCCCCCCCCCCCCAAAACCATAAAACATGCTTCAAATCGCTTTAAACTATTGTCATTGTAGTGCGTATTTAATGCGGCGCTGCACTCTGATGTAGGAGAAA